GCTGAGCGCGGAGGGAGCGCGGCCGGCCGCCCGGAGGGGCCTGGGACCCCGCACCCGCGCTTTGCGGAGCTGTCAGCGGCGTCGGGGCGGAAACCAGCTTTACTTGTAAATCCTGAGCTTCTCGGCCGCTCCTCCGCCCTCCCGCCGGGGCGCAGGTGGCACGGACGCGTCCCGGGCTGCGTGGACGAGGGCCGTGGGTAGATGGCGAGGCGCGACTTACGTTTTCAGTTTCCCGTTTCGAGTTGCCTCCTGGAGGAGTTCTTGGAAAACTCGCCGGTCCGTTGCCCTCCTAAAAACCTGGACGTGTGTGCGTGTATGCGCGCGTGTGTGCGCGCGTGTGCGTGTTAGGGAGGACAGCTTAGGTCATCCTGGTTCTGGAGGTCGTCAGCAACCAAAAAGAGCTAAAACCAAGGAGTGTCTTTCAGACCCGACCCCAGTTAAAGGAAGAGTTTTCTGGCAGTTGGAGAGAATATGAGTGACCAGGGAAGATCAGTAGGTTTTGGGTTACCTGCTCGCAGGTTTGTAGATAGGGGCTGAGGCTCCGGGGCGCGTCATGAAAAGTTAATGCATTCCTTTTTCTTGCTTACTGAGGAAGTCGCCACAGCAGATGTGACACACCTGGGCGCCTTTCTTGAGAACTGGTATTCACTTTCCTAGGGAAGACTCAGTAGCCCTGAAACAAGCCCTACAGTTTACAAAAGTGTAAATGAGTAAATAGAGGAGAGTTAAACGACATTCTTCGGTGTCAGAAGTCTCGAAGGGAGAAGGGGAATTTTAAAAAGCAAAGATCAGTGTTTGTCGTAAAAGTTAAGTTTATTTGCTCCCTTGGTCAATTCCTGCTAAGCATTTTCCCCTAGAAGATCCGCCCATCAATTTAGCTGACTGGCATGTGTGTGTGTGTGTCACATGGCTCTTGCAAAATGAGTTCTGATTTCAGGTTTTGTAATACTATGATTTGACGCTGAAATGTTCTCTATTTTTTTCATATCAAGCAGTAATACACAGTCCAATAATTATAACCTAAAGTCCATTAAATTACTTAGGATTTTCTTAAAGGCCAAAGGTTGATACAAATGGTCTACTTTAAATGTTAAGCTCAGTCGGCATTTACACTCCCCCTCAGTTACTATTCGGCAAACAGTTGTGGAATTTTTGATTTTTAGTTCTCAGAGCTAGAGGTTTCTTTTCTTTTTTTGTATTTTTGAGACAGGGTCTTGCTTTGCAGTTCAGGCTGGCCGTGAGCTCACTTTTAGCCCAGGCTGGTCTCGAACTCGCAGCGATCCTCCTGCCTCAGTCTCCTGAGTGCTGGGATTACAGGCATGCGCCACCACGCCCGACTCAGCCCAGTCTTGAATTTACTATGCAGGCCAGGCTGGCCTTTAACTCGCAGTGATCCTCCTGCTTCAGCCTTCCAAGTGCTAGGGCTGTAGGCATGAACCATGCTTGGCTTGATACAGTAGAGAGTAAGTTCCAGATGCGCAGCATGAATCAGAGCAGTGAGAATTCAGAGGAGGTGATGGGTTATGTTGGCTGTTGGTGGAAAAGACATCTGTAAGAGAATTATTATTAACTAGATTTGGAGGAGTAGAGGGTGGGTGAGGAAGTTACCCAAGAGAGAAGAGGAATGGCTAAAGGGTGGCAGGGACTGGTCTTTTCTTGGTACTGGAAATGGAACCCAGGGCCTTTACACTGACGGAGCTGTATCTCCAGCCTTTTGGGCTTTATTCAGAGCTACATCCCCAGCCTTTTTTAAAATTTTGAGACAGGGTCTTGCTAAGTTACTAGGTTGTCTAGGCTGGTGTCAATTTGGGAACCTCCTGCTTCAGCCTCTTAGAGTGCTGGGATTTAATTTGTTGATTTATTGAAAGAGGGTCTCCTTATGCAGTTTAGGCTGACCTCGAACTCATTATGTAGCCCAGGGTGGCTTTGGATTCTCAGGGATCCTCCTCCCTCAACCTCCTGAGTGCTGAGATTACAGGCATGTGCCACCATTCTCTGCTAGGACAGTAATTTTTTTTAAAATTTACATATATGGATGTATTTGTATTGAACAATGGTAGTTTAAATAGATCTTACAAGGAGGATAGTAATTTTTTTTTTTTTTTTTTTT